TTTAACCTTCTTTATAGCTTATATCTCAGAAATCAGTTAGCAAAATTTTGTATATAATATAAGAATAAATATATCTGCATGAATATACATATAAACATATTTGTATGCAATAAAGTTAAGATCGCTAAAATTTATTACTAAAAATATTGCTACTACACAAATAAATCAAATCGAACAACAAACTAGTAATACGAAAAACAAAAATAAATAAACAATAAATAATTTGAATAAAATCACTTAACTCGAAATATTCGAAAACAATCAATGTGTTTAATATATATGAGGTATTCAGTTATAGTGCGTATTCAATAATATTTAATTTTTAGAAAATATTTCTTGTCACTAAAGCCCTAATAATATTTTGCAATGACAATTTTTAAAGTATACGGTAAACAAATATCAGACACATATATATACTTTGACAGCTATCCGTTAGCAATTTGGTACCTCGAAAAATTACACATTATATGCTTTCTACAGCAGAATGTTAGACATGTTCATTATTAAAAATTAAAATTGAAAAATCTGCTGTAGATGCAATATATTATATAAAAAGTATTTCATATATTAAATCAGGTATGCTTTTTTGGTGTTTCACATGATCATTAAAGAAATTAGTTAACAAATTTTGATAGGGCTAATTGGTATTGCGTCTAAAGTAAAACATGCAGCCATTGACTTGTCACATGTTACATGTCTAATCAAATTTGGTCTTTCTCCATTCAATTAACATACTCATCACAATGATTTGCAAAAATGTAAACAGAAGTGCTTAATAAAAATTCATTGATAATAAAACAAACTGATTTCTTATCTGGTCCACACAATCAGTTTCACAATACAAAATTTATGTTAGCATCAATACCCTTTGAGACGTACATTCTCATCGCAAATTTTTATTATCATGTATAATAGTACTATTTGAAAAGTAAAAATTGCATTTTTTATATTTTTGTAATTTACTACAAAGTACTATTTATAAAATAATGAGACGTTAAAGCTTTCGTTGTCAGAGCATCTCACTCTTTTGCTCACATATTACTTATTTTATGAGATTAGCTATGTAATAGTTTAACTAGTTGCCGCCTTACATTATTTATTGGCAGCAAATTCTTTAGTTGATTATTTACGTCAGAGAGTGTTGTCTATTAGTTATTTTCACTTAATTGTTGTTATTATGTAACGTATTATAATAGCAAGAGAAAACAGTGTACCATATGTTCCATTCTTTAAACATAATTCTCGCCGTATTTATATTATTTAGTGCTAGTTTAACAGCAATTAACCATAATCTAAATTAGATAATATTAGAAAAATTGAGTAAAAAAATGGAAATACTGTATTACTGGAAATATTTAATTGTGCCTTACACCAATATGTTAGAAAATCGAAGCTGAGAATTGACTTGTCCTTCCAACAAGCAAATTAATACAGCGGAACAGATGCTTCTCAGTTTTTCGACACTAGATTAGATTCTGACTGTTTCTGCTATCCTCTTGTCAACCAACTATACGATCTTTAATTTCGTTGTCTGAGTCAACTTAGAAAAGACGAATATGATGCTAGAGTCTTGTTATCTAACAAACTGCCTTCAATACAATCTTATTCCGCTTATTTAGGTCAAATATGGACCGTTTGGTTCGAAAACTGGTTGCTTTTTGGGAGTTGCATTATGACACTAGCATCGAAACCCTCAAACAGTCGATTTTCACAACTTAAGGGCATCTTTCACCAGCAAAACACTTCGCCATAGAAAGTAAAAGATTTGTTGCCGAACCACTATCGATGTCTTGGATCCGACTTGTCAGAAAGTGCAAATTTTTAGTTTCAATCAGTAAGAAATTAAGCCGGTAGAATAATAATAAAATTGGTATTCGTTTTCGCAGTGTAAGACTGTGTCACAATAGACTCTTTTGTTACTTAGTATTGTAAAATTTTTTTTAATATCGTTTAATCGTTCATAAGAGCAAGGCGAGGCCGACAACTTGAGTTTCATTTTCTTCATATCAATTCTCAAATTCTTGTACGCAGGGAACAAACATATTTTGATTACATTTT